TTGGAGAGAGTCCATGTCTTTGCTCTCTTTTAAAAGAGGCATTCAGGTTATATATGTCGTACGGTTGAAGTGGGGTAGTAGTTATCTATCGAAGGTATGTAATTGCTTGGCTTGGCTTAATCCCTAAATATATATTAGACTTAAATTATTTCAAGTTACTTTCTATCTTACCTGCATTGTGTAAAGATCTAGCCTGATTTATCTCTGCTTGTGCTAGCTTCCGGTGTGCTGGATGAGAGCTGTGAGAGGCCAGACCTTGAACAACTCAAAGGTGAGGTTTCGAATGTTCAATTAAGAAGTGTGTGAAGACTACGTACATGCAATCTCTTCCTCTATATATAGAGAGAGGAAGAGTTTCTGGAGTCTTCCAAGAAACTGTTTGACAAATACGTAACGTCAAAAGAATAGAGTAGAAAAGTGTAGAAAAGGAGAAACCAATTTAGCAGTGGAGCAATGGCCAATGCTGAGCGGGGACTTTGGTCAGTGCTTAGCGAGGGCATGGCCCGAGCCTCCATCATGGGTTCCAACCCTCACAAGAGCTAACTGATTGACTTGGAAGGTGGTTATGTAGACTATATTCTACGCCAGGCCTATAGCGTAACTCCCATTGAGAATTTATACATTCAAGCGCTACTATTGAGAACTGGCAGCCAGTTTTTCGAGTAGTTGTCTGTCGCTTACGTGCTTGTAAATGCTGTTGCGGATGTTTTTCGGATGGTGGTAGGCCGTAACGGTCGCAATTATACGTGATCTTCGTCCTAGGACCGCCATGGATCTTTGTTGACCGTCCAATACGAAAAGCATAGCAATGATGTGCTGCCCAGGCTTGAATTGAAGTATATAGCTCTTCTTTAGAGCTATATATAGCCTCTGGAGGCAGTGGCATAGACGTATGAGGGGTGGCATCTGCTGACGCTGGCTCAAGTGGTTGCTCAGGTGAATGTAAGGGCAGTGGCGACAGCGAGAGTTGAACGTCCATTTTCAGTGCTGGTAGATGTAAATGCGACGCGCGCGCATTTCGGTGGTGGGGGGGCGTGAAAACCCGCGCTTAGTCAGCTCTAAATTGACGCCGGGGCGTCAGTGTATTGGGACCCGGCATGAGCTCATGGCTGAGGTAATAGGAGTACTTCCAACAGCAGCCATTCATTCACAGAACAAGATTGATGTAAATCTAGGCAACCACTCAATCAGAAATTAAATTCCGGCTGCTCGCAGAATTCCCATAACTTCTGAATCCCTATAGATTCGAAAGTCCACAGCTTGGATGAAAGAGATATTGTTTGATAATTGATACTACAACCTCTATTACATACTCTAATTTACATACTCAAAGCCTGAGCAACATGACAGACATCACCGACGCAGAGAACGAAGCCCGTATGCAACGTGGAGAATTGTATTACGCTTTTAAACCTTCATTGGTTGCTAAACGAAAGAAGGCAGCGCAGACTGTTCATGACTTCAATTCGGCCCATGGAGCTTCGAGACGAAAACTCGTCGAGTTGTGGAAAGCGTTGGTCAATTCCACCCGTTTGAATGTTCCGTCTTAACTTGTGCCTAGTATTGCTGATGACAATACGCCTCTACCACCTCCTGCATCAACTGAAGAAGAAGACGAAATCCTTTTGCAGGATGAGCCCTATATTGATGCCCCCATTACTAAAGTTGATTATGGGTTCAACGTAAAGTATGGATTCCCATGTCACTATTAACATTGTTAAAAGCTCATTCTTCTTAGACTTGGTAAAGGTGTTTATGTCAATTCCAATGCGACCTTCATAGATACTTGTCCAATCACCATCGGTGCTCGTACTATGATGGGACCAAATTGCTCCTTTTATTCTGGAAAGCACCCCATCGACCCGTTCCTCCGAAATGGTATCAAAGGCCCGGAAGATGGAATGTCCATTGTTATTGAGGAGGATTGTTGGCTTGGTGGGAACGCGATTGTTTTGCCGGGTACTACCATCGGAAGAGGAAGCACCGTTGGAGCAGGTAGTGTGGTCACAGGAGATGTTCCAAGATTTTGTGTTTTAGCAGGAAACCCAGCACGTATACTTCGGAGTATCGAGCCGAAAGTACCAAACCCAAACCCGGATTCAAAGGCCTTGAGTGATGAAGTGGCGGTTGCAGCTGCAAGTATAATCGGACCAGTATAAACCCCATTGGGATACGAGTTCCTGAGAAACAGAGTTTGAATGAGAAGCTTGCTTCCGAATAATGCCTTTTTTACTGATCTGGTAGTCCTGAGGCCCTCGTGTAATCTATGAGAAGCCCATCAAGACATTTTCATAGACCACCTTGGATAGAGAATGACGAGAGAATAACAATCAAAACATTGATCAATGCCCAAACGAAAGGTATCCATGTCGACATTTTGAAATATCCGGCATTATAAACAGCCCCCAGACTACATCCGAGTTAGCAATTGGTCCGCATATGGGAGAAGTGAACTTTGCCAAGCAAGGGAGGTATAGACTGACATTAATCCGGTGATACTTCCTGCAAGAACAGCTTCAATGCCGGAGAGAAGACCATAAAAGAGCGGTATAATCCAAACGTATTTCCAGGCATGCTTCGTCTTCCCAATTTGCATTATCACGGCCCATGCAGCGACTATCAAATGGAAAAAGGCAAATAACAAGACGGTCCATAGTAGGGTGTATCGCCATATATCGTAGGCAAAGTATAGATACTGTGCCTCGCCTGGTTCCGCCTTGTAGGGCCAATAGAGGGACGGGAAGGAAGGAGTCGTATAGTCCAGAGGGGCCGGATTCTCAAGCCGGGCACTTTTCAGGAGTAAGAAGAGGCATATTAGTGAGAGAGACAGAAGACATACTTGACAGCCATGATGATTGCAGGCGGCTTTTGAAGGCACACAGCCTTGCGGCGCGTTGGTAGTCGTAGTGATGTTGTCAAGGGATGTGAGGTGGTGAAGGTGAGGATGGGTATTCTGCGGGTCCCTGAAGAGAAGGCTGGACTGCACGCTGGAAGGCTGAGATGCCTCGGCAAGAAACTCCAAGGTGTGGGTTTCCAATGAGCTGTACTTGAATACAGCACCATAGCTCTTGAGCCTCAACACTACACCGCACAACTTTCAGTAGATGATCTCTCGATAGCAAAAATGCCGGCGGATCGCCTTCTCTCAGGTGTGCTTCGTGCATACCAGACTCCGACTCCGTCTGATCCAGAGCAGATTAACAGAATCATCTCCAGCACAACATCACTCCTCACCACCCTCTCGAATCCACTGAACATTACCCTCCTTACCTCACATTTCCTCACTGCACCAGCTATCTGGCACCAAGTAGCTGATCTTTCGACGAGTTACCGAATCATCAGCGTGTTCAATACAGCTGCTATCACGATCCACAAATACCAAACAGAAGGAGGAGCCAGTAAGCCCTTTGATGCCTACCAACCTAGACTTGGTGGGGGGGTATCTTGCGAGGAATGGGCAACGGCTGTTTTGATGGGCTTGGATGAACGATCTCTACGATGGCAGCATACCTTGGTGATTACGGGAGTGCTTTTGGGGATGGAAGGCCAGGATAGACACGGCCTTTCACGCTCCTTGCGATTCAAATTAGAGGGTACTCTTGCAATGGCTATGAATGCTACGATGCAAGAGCCCGCCGTTGTCGGTCCTTTTGGAATCTCATCCAGCGTGCTTGCTCTGAATCACGCCTTTCCGCTGCTTTCGGATAAGGCCAGAGCAGCTCTAGACTATGATAATCTAGTGATGCCTATGGCTAATACCATGACCTCTTCCGACGGTTATGAGGAAGGCTTTTTCCTTAGGGCCATCAATTCGGATGTCAAAGAAGTGCCAGGAAGAAAGTTCGACTGGTCAGCAAAATCGATATCATTCCTCCGTCTTCAGAGACTTGGTTCCAAACCACTTGTATCCTCAATGGGGCCATTATCAAGACTTATATCACATGCCGTCGAGTATTCGAAAACACCGGCTCGGACCATCGAAATTCTTGATCATCTGCTTGCATTTACTGGCAACTTATTAGCAGCTTGGGAATTGAACAAATTGTCAGAACTCGATGCATCGGAAGAAAACATCATTCTCACACCTGAGACGCTTCGGGTTACTTATCCAGTTCTATGGCAGGTACTGAAAAGTGCCATGTTCTCAACTGTAGTAATATTGCGTGCGATTGTCGCAAAAACTGTCATCAACTCCCACCTCTCTTCCTACCAAATCGCACCAGTCGTGGCATCCAAAAGTCTCCTCATTCTTCGAAATATACACTTCATCTCATCCCGTCTGGGCTCAAATGCTTTCTCGGCATATACCTTTGTCAACCTCACATCTATAGACATACTTAATCGATTCCCTCTCCAATCCAGGGACTTCTTGAAAGCTATATATCCAGCTCAAGCAGGACAGATACCTTCACATCCATTGCAACGAAATCTCGACCTGTTTTACCTCAACACTACTGAACATTTCACTCTCATCATGTCTCCCGAAACCGCTGAATCTCTAATATATACACCCGCCTCACCCTACCTCAACCCAGCCGCCAATGTTCAACTCCTCGAAATATTCGAAGCCGCTCACAGTGCCATACTCGCAATGCTTGCTGCACCACAGAGCGGACCACTGACCGCAAAGGTTCTCCCATTTTACGTGGATTCCCTCTTCCATTCATTTCCCACCAACCTATCTCCCCGCCAATTTCGCTATGCATTCAAGGCACTGATGGAAGTCACAACACCACCAGCACCAATCTCAGCCACCGAACCACAATTAGCCGAAACCTTACTAGAACTACTCCATCACCGTGCCTTAAACTCCCCAACTACTCCCCTCCCCCCATCCGTCTCGATCAAAAGACAGGCAGATGCACAAATCCAGAACTCCCCACCCCTTTCCGAACAAGCCATCCTCCTCCTCACTCTCCTTGATGCCTTGCCCAATCTCCCACTGGGCTTGTTGCAGGAATGGTTACCCCTCTCGGCTAATCTGCTTAACGCCATCGCGGATCCGGCCATGAGAGAGCATTGTAAGAAGCGCTTCTGGGAGTTGTTGGAGAGTGGGGAGATGGATATTGAGAGGAGTTCGGTGTGTGTTGCGTGGTGGGGGTCGAGGGGTGGGAGGGAGATGGTGCTGTTTGGACGGGGGGATGAGGGACCTTTTATGAGTGGGGGGTTGGGGGTAAGGGAGAGTAGGTTGTAGTGTAGTGTAGTGTAGTGTAGTGTAGTGAGCTTGTTTGCATGGGATTGGGGATGGTGTTTTTGTTTAAATAGTGTTCTGGATGTACTGTATGAGGCGATGGGGCGTTTAGGCAAGGAATGGAATTTTGTTTTAGTATGCCCTTTGGTTTTCTAAGGTGATGTGAAGTGAACTGTTTTAAGGTAGGGTACTGTATGCGACTGTGTACTACTACTTCTACTCTCGTAAAATATCTTTGAGCCCTTTTCTTTCCTTGTTACTATATCTGTAGATATAGTGGAAATAGTTAGTTAGTAAGTTAGGTTCACTTTCTAACTATGTAACTTAACTACTCTAATCCCATCTAAATGTTTTCGGCGATATAATTATTTAGGACTAAATATTATCCGTAAGAATACACCTCTTTCCTTCCTGTTTTAGAGCTTTTTGCCTTGTTTGGGGATGATGATAGGGATGGAGGAGAGATGGGGGGAGATTAGTGATGGGTTTGATGGGTTTGAGGGGTTTGATTAGTTTTGTGGGAGTTTGGTTTGGAGTTTGTAAGTTGTATAGTTAGGTATCTGAATGGTCTTGGTAGGTGATTTGTCTTGGGATTGTAGGAGCTGATTAGGTATGGTTCTAGATGCTAAGTGTATCCTGGTGATTAGGTATCAGGGGCTCTTCGGATCCTGAAAAAACGTCAGAAGTTCCCCCTCGAAAAAAAGGGCTCTCTTTTAGCAACTACGCAGAGTTATATAACATCGAGCTAGTAAAAACGTTTGAGAACTTCTACAATGAAACTTTGCCTCATTCACAGCTAACTATTGTCTTCAATGTGTTTTTATTATACAGCGTATAAAATGAGCAGAGTAGAGTAGAGTAGTAACACCTACTCTACTCTACTCAAGGGTTTAAAAGCCCTACTCAACTCAAGTTAAGTACTTGGCGCCAAGTACTTAAGTAACTTAAGTAGTACTTAAGTATTTCGGGGTGTTGCCGGGCCGAGTCTCCGTAGCGCGCCCCGGGTATATCGCCGGTCTCTAGTGGTCGGTCCGCCTACTCGGAATCAGCCAAGTTAAGCGCTCCTAGGGAATGATTATTTAGTAAGAGAGCTAATATTATCTAAGAATAGGAATAAAATATTAAAGGAGACTTTTCTTAATAAGAAGGATAAACAGGTTAAAAGGGAACTGTCCTTTTGAATTAATTATTTTGTACTTTAGTCACGTTTTTACTATAATTACCTACTTAAGTACTACTTGAGTACTGCTTAAGTAGTCAGGCCTAGTACTCACTACTAATTAAGTAGTAAAATCGACTACTCAACTCAACTCTACTTAAGTAGTACTCAAGTAGTACTTAAGTAGTTGATCAGTTTGTTCATACGCTGTTTTTATAACTTGGGTAGCGTTCATAATCTGTTTTTAAGTAAATGGTGTATAGGGTATACATTCTGACGGGTTTTTAGGACTTGAAGAGTAGGGTTTATCTAAGATGATTCCACGGTAAGCGAACGGGGTTATATGTTGAAAAAGATACAGTAGTATTTCTGTTAGTTTAGAGATTTCACTTACTTATAGGATATCATGGGAGTATATGGAATATGTTAAAAGGTTATATACGATGTATATTAAGTCGATTACTTGCTACTTTCTAATACTTCGTAAGCTAGTTGTTGATTTTAGTGGTGGTTGTTATAGTTGGTACTTGATACAGCCTTAGTTACGTTACTATGATGATGTTATTGTTAGGAATCTTTTCTCTTGTGAAGTAGATGGTGCGAGCTGTGTCGACTTGGATTTGTATAAGGCTTCTTCTCCTTGTAGTTTTGTTTTTATTAGTTTTATGTAGACAACACATGAAAAGATATGAGGGGTACTCTGGGGGTAGTCCTATCGTGAACAGGTTAATTAGTCGGTAGTTTAGTCGTTTGTTCTCGTCTAAACCTCGCCTATTCTACAACCATATTACCACCACCAATGAAGCAAAAAACATTTAATTCCCCGACCAAAAGTCTAGTCTACGAACCAACAGGAAGATCCAAATCCACAATCCAAGGAAGATTGTTCGGTTGATTCCTCTGATCCCTCAATGATCCATTCACCATCAAAGTTTCCTCGCCACGTATGACAGAGCATCGTTGCGGATGGAGAAATGTCATTTCGTCATCTAGATGCTCTATTTCCGCTGCTTCTTCTCCTGTCCACTTTATCTTTTTCATCCCGTACCCCTCGCGAAGATGCCCGAAACAGTGTAGTAATGGTCTTGCACGCCTGACTGCACGAAGGAGGTTCTCGCATCCCACTTTACGGATTAGCGAGTAGTTCTCGATTATTCTGGAACTTGGAAACAAAAAAGTGAAATTTAAGTAATATCGCAAAGGCTACAAGCAGTTGTGGGGTGAGGGGAAGAGTTGGGTTACTTACTTTCTCCATTGTAACTCTCATCAAGAATTCCCATCGGCGGACCATGTGTCATAACAATGTCCACACCGGGAAAATCAGGAATCGGCGTCCTTGCAATGGACGTACTACCCGGCGTCGTCTGTGCAAAATTGTTGAAGGGATCTTGAACGCAATTATACGCAAAAGCACTACTCCTAAAAGAAGCATGGTACGGCGAAGTATAGATCGTAAACGGCGCACCACTTTTCAAAGTAAACCTATGAATTCCCTCCTCCAAATACGTCACGCCGGCCTGCTTCGCTAACGACCCGGTCATGATATCCATGGCGTGAGAATGTTCTTCTGAATCCCAGTCCTCCCAGGCCTCTGCAAATCCATCTCGTGTTTTCCAGTACACACCGTCGAGTGAGACGTCGTGGTCTCCCGCAATGATGAGTTTCAGCTCAGCGTCGTTGCGGGAGAGGATTTCTAGCCCTTTTTTGTAGGCGTTCAAGCCGCCGAGCATGGTTAGGTTGTCGCTGTGCAATAGGACGTCTACTTTTGGGGTAAGGTGACGGATGTCTTCTTTCGTGTAGAATTTGTTTGCCCCGAAGTTCAGGGTGTCGGAGGTGATGAGGAAGCGAGTGGAAATCTTCTTGCTGGACATTTTGGGTGGTTTGTTTTGTTTGTTTGAGTTTTGCGGTGATGGAAGTCTACAGATTTTGTTTGGCGAGATCGAAGTTCGGATGTTCGAAGAGGTTATAGGTCTGAATTATGAGATGATAAATCTTAGGAAGTGCTTCCAATGTTATCTAGTGTGCACCCGTGAATTTTAGTGATATTTAGTGATATAATTCAAATGAGCCTTGTCTTGCTAGCGTCGATACTAAATTGCACGTAAGCTCCCTATAACACAACGGTACTCTTTAATAAGAAAAGAGGCCTTTTGTTAGTAGCGTTCGTTCTACGAAACTATACAACAAAAATATGGAGGGAAAACTAGCCTACGGATATCATAAGTACGGTGGAGGAGATGGCAATCTTACATTTTTTTTAAAGGTTGGGAATTATTTATGTACAGTAATATTCCCAAAAGGTTAGGTGTCTCTTTCTCGCGTAAATATTTTGGATGGCGTGTCCTTGGTTGGTGGCTAATGGAGGGCGATTAGATATCTTTGTTGATCCGGTTACCCCAAGCTAGACCTTCGGTGCAAAACCATATACGACGGCACCGAAGCTATGGTTAGAATAGGAATAAGGACCACGGTTCGAACGGCGCCATCTTATGAGAGCATTATTATACCATGTTGATGTCCGGTACCTGATCTTAGTAAAGATCCTTGAAAGAAGTAATATTCACTATCTGGGAAGTCATACTACTGTCTAATCATAATATCATGTTTTTGGGTATTATTGTTCGAACATTTTCGAATAATATAATTCAATAAGTGTCACCCGACGACATTTACCATGTAAGAAGTTATTATATGAAGGCTAATAAATCCATTAAGGTAACAAATTTGAAATATAGAGTGGTAAAGTAATTGTTAATAGATGACTTTATTGATTCAACTATACAAGGGAGAAGTATTGAAGGTGCTAGCTTAAATACAATAGAGAATTCTACTGCTAAGTAATTGTTCGTAACTCGGTTCAGTGTGATCATGTAATAACTCCGTAGTACGGCAGGATTCAACAGTAATTAATCATTGCTTCTTATACACATCAGTTTATTTGTTATTATGAAATTTATTAACCTTTTCCAGTTAGTATTCAAGGCGGTATCAACTTTGAGAATTAAGGAACCCACTTTAGTCCTTCTACCTTACAACTAGTCTAGAGGTCTGGAAATACGTAACTTGTGCCTGATGATCTATACTTCATAATCTTAAGATTGTCAACATTACCCTTGAGACTAATCGAACTTAGCCAAGTGCCAACTCAAACTAGCGTCCCGCTAAGCTCCATAGCAGCCCCCAAGAGAAACTGGACCAAATCTTTTGGTTGCACATCGCAATTGGAAACTCTTGTTAAGCGACATGGCGCCTACAAAATATCTTGCGCTCTCAACAATTGAATGCAACAACATAAAGGAACTGCATTCCTCAAACTTCGGGTTACAGGTATATGTGATACAGAGAAATTCCGAAATTTTGCCCTTTTGATTGAACCTGTTTAATTTAGAGCTGTTTTTGAAGGCGCAATACCGTGCTGCTCACGGAGGGTCGAGACCCTGTGGCTGAAAGGCCAGGTTTTCGTGTACAAAGTAGCCGTAGTGTCACAAAACGACCGTGGTGTGCAGCTACTTGGCAATAGACTTTTCGAGCAGGTGTTTTCGACGGCGCAGCAGCATGGTATTGGTCACCGCTCCCTTAATTACAAGATAAATGCAAGACTCAAAACAGAAAGGAATTCCAGTGGTAACACGAACTGTATTTGGCCACTCGGAAAAAATCTGAACAAAAACCATTCCGTCACTTACCTCTTCAGACTCACATTAAGGGATTTCCCATAAAATCGCAGGAAAATGAATCCCCGTTGAGGTGTCACAAATGGTGGCAACATACAACAAAAGGCAGGTAGGACGTCATCGATCCTTTTCGGCTGGATTCATACCGGTCTCACCGTCGCCATATACTGGATATCCTAGGCCGCAAAGACTGTTGGTGTTGTTGGGCATACGTAAATACTCGGCTAAATCAGACCCGCAGGCCAGGGGGGGGGCCTGGGGGTTTCAGCCCTCCGCGGGATGATGGGGCGGAAGGCTGACTGCTCACCCAATTACCACTCTATTGGGTCAATCTTCCAACCGGCTGTATTGTTTCGTGGCAATGGCAGGGTTTGAGTTTCCTGGGAGCATATATACAGGCTGATTATACCTCAAATAAATCTGAGGGTGTGAGTCGGCCTGACCTTATGATTGGGTTTATGTTGTGTTGCGCGAGGCTTTTACAGTATGTACGGATGTAGAAGGAGACAAATCTTTCTGTTTTCGTGATTAATTACGGCGGCGACATCATAAAAGGGCGCAATACAACTTTTTGTTGCACTTTCTTGCTTGTGGCCCTCATATCGGCTCATAATCCCGAAGATCCTGCAAGAAGCTCCACAGCATACCATTTAACGATTTACTCATGCATTTAATAACCTTTGCCAACGTAAATAGATCCTTGAAGTTTACTGGCAGTTCTCCAAGACTTACGTTGCACACGGTTGCACAATGTAACCTGCAGTTCCTGCTTGATTCGAGTTAACAACTATAACATGTCAATGGATAATGAACGATCCTTGAAGTACCTCGCCCAACACGAGGTAGTTTAGAATGCCTTCAGAAGCGGGTTATATATCCCTTCAGCCCTAAGGTTGCCAAGCGGGCAAAATACGAGGTTGGTTTTCAGCCCTGTACATTGGACCAGGTCCATACCTTCGTATCGTAGATCATATCACGATAGATTTTAATGCTGACGTCCATACAAAACCCCGCAAAAGACAACTACCAGGCCAAAAAAACGTTCGCGGTAAGTTGGATTTGTGTTTGAAATACTTGTCACATTAACATATCCATTCCATTCCATACCGCGTCACTCAAATCTTCGCGTCTGCCTTACCTGTAAAACAAATTCAACTCATCACAGTAGTATTTGAGCCCCACCGGCTGGTACCAACGTCCCTCGTGGTTGGGATTCGTTTTCTAAACAGAGGATGCGATCCCCACATGCATGGCTTGTCGGAAGAACCAGTTCACTTCCCCGCGTCCCAGCCCCTATTTCAAAAAATACATGCCGGCCCACGCTATGACCAAGGGATGGGAATACATGGGAGATAGCCGCCGTACTACGTTCTGGAAGACGGGCTCATTTTATCTCATGTGAGTGAAATCCTTCCGGGGGTGGGGACCCGAGAAGTCCCTTCGCTTAGCAAACTGTGACCCAAAACAGAAAAACGTTCTTGCTGCGTGTGGCGCAAGTATAAACTTTTTAGGCAACCAATGAGAGATTTTTGCGCTGACTATTTTGTGGTGTTTTTCAGAAACCAAACTATTCCATTCAGCACAACACTTTATCGCCCCAACATGCTGGTATGAGGCGTGGCTGTTGGTTTGTTTGATCACGGTGCTGAACAGAAACTCAGCTAGGACGCCTATTGGTAGCTACAAATGCAAAAGGTCACACCTCGGTACTTTTCAAGCTACCTGTCGGCGGCTATTCAACCAACCATTACTGATACCAAAAAAATTGTCCAGAAATCAAGTCCTACACACCCCCTTAAAAGAAGAAGCGCGATATATGGTGGAAAAGAATGCATTGGCATGCAGCCATTAAATAAGCATATCTAAACTGACAGACAGACGGAGATGCGCTGCTGATAGAGAAGAGAGACTGGAAAGAAGCAGAAAATCTAATATACAAAATCGAATGAAAAGAGTTCCAGTAAAGGACAGTATCCTAGGACCTCCAGCAAGATTCCACAATCTTCGGTTTCCATGTAAAATAATCATGTGAGTTGCGCAAAAGAAACTCAACGAAACCAAGGGCAATCCTTAGTGACCATTCTGCCATACCGTCGTATTATCCCACGGCTGATACCCTTCTTGAGGGGCTACCTCCCCATAACTCCAATCATTGTTATAAGATGCATCGGATGAGCTGCTCTGATAATTTGATTGCATGGATGGATCAGGGCTTGGAAATGACGTTTGTTGGTGTTGAGCAATCGATGTTGTATATGGATTGATGCTTTCCGCAGCGTTGTTCCAACCCACTGTGCCGACAGTAAATGTTTGGTTGGGATCAGTCGCATAAGAAGAATGGTATTCCGGCATAGAAACTTGGTAGTTTGCGTTTCCTGGTGGTCCTTGGGCTACAAAGATATTAGTATACATCATCCACAACTGGAGGTTTGGTACTTTGGGCTGCGGTACTCATGTCAACCTGGTTATTCTGCTGGGGCATGGGGTCTACATTGGTGTCAGTAAACAAGTATTCTCGTAATTTGATAGCCATACATTTGCTCTCAATATAATCAGGATGATTCCTCTCACGGTGCCTCCTTGTCCTTTCTGGACGACTCGCGGTATAAGGACAATTCTGATAGGTACAGGGAAATTTCTGCAGCTCGTGTACCTCTCTCATATGTCTGTCGAGGTCTGGTTTACGTGAAAAATCGCGATCGCATTTGCTGCACGGTAACGGCGTTTGTTTATGGGAAGGTTTACCCATTGTGCTGTCATGAAATGATTCTTGAATTGTTGGATAATGAATACTTGGAGAACTCGGAGTATATATAATATTTCATGTTCTCGAGGATTGGAGTAAGTGTTAAACAAGGCAAGAAGGCACAAACCAACATCACCTAGGTAGAATTTAGCTTGTTGGAAAAGAAATACCGGCGGCGAAACAACGCCATAGGTGACCAAACCACTTTCCATCACAGTGGTATCCTACCCTGCAGGCATATCACATGCATCTGAATTAACGTTCTGACTCCTTGGTCCTTAGGCTGGGGGATCACGGTTCCTCCTCCTTCATGACTGGAGAAAAGACGAAAAGCGGGGTTGCAAGTGCCGCAAAAGAGCTTGCCTCAGCCTGCGAATCAGGATGTTAAGTCGCTGCTTCCTTTTCGAGGAATCTGTCACCTTGTATTAAAACCACTCTTGATCCTGCACTGGCTACAAGTAGCCGTTATTGTAGAATCCCGATCCTCTGGGAGCCCAACTTAGCGAATTAGGTTGCAGATTAGGTTACAGGTATGTGAAACGGAAATTATTAAAGCTTTGAGTAGAGCTGATTCTGTGCTCTATCGACCTTATCCCAAGAGTGCCCAGGCAAAGGAAGGATTCTAGAAGACTGATCTCTGCGCCACATTCTACATCCACTGACAGGTATATACGCGTATTATGATGATGTTTTTTCAGAAGTCAGCCATTGGAAAGGTGATGACACTTTCTGCAGGTTTCAAAAGTTGAATGGGGTCAAGACCTCTGCTGAAGAAACTTCAGCACGTAAACATGCAAAGAACACAGGCCAAGGCTCAACTACAATCTACGCCCCTAAGAGAAACGATATCCAAGCCCTGTCGCTCTTCAACAGCCCTAAGCACATACATGGGAACGAATCAAACGAGCAGAGCCTAGAAAGCAATGCAGCCACGTTTAAATTAGGTGGCGACCGCTGAACTTCCGATGAGTGTTGGGAGGGTCGGCCCGTAACTTGGAATCAGCACTCTATTTCTTCAGGCGAGCGAGAAGAGGGAATTCAAGGGGTATGACGGCGCCTTGTGGAGAGTATCTGTGGAACACGCCCGCCTCATTTTCCCTCATATGAGCTGCTGGTACTGGTGATCTGATCCCCCGTTGCTGCAGCTTACAATAACTTTACATGCAATTGCCCAACCACCATTCAAGGGAGCGTCCTCGAAATTTGCATTCGGAAGCTCCCAAAGATGGTTGAAGAGCAGCGTTATCCAGCGAATTAGTCGAAACTGACGAATGGTCAAGCCTGGTCTAGCCGTAGGAGGAATTCCGACAGCTACGCATGTGCTTTATTGGCGCAACCAAGAACTTCATGGGAGCACGATCGGACCATTGCAGCCACAGATGGCACAGTACCGCAATTCAGCAGCTGCTGGAGATTTGATTAAGATCAAAGCTCGCGTTGGACAAGTTGAGTACGCCATTACTGTACAGCTAAGCAAGTCTTTTGCTTGTTTTGATTCGGCAGTTATCAAGCTTGGCTTCTTTGGGCAGCTACAGATGAACAGGATAGTATTCTATGAGTGTGTCGAAGTATTCGGCCCTCTTCCATGGTTTGGAATACTATTTGACGGACTTTGCCTGATTTTGGAAGTGGTCATTGGTCGTCTTAGAGTAGCCATTCACTGATTTAGAACAAATTGTGAGGAAAGCTTTTATTCTCGTCAACTCACAATATCAATTGAAGAATTAGACATGCAGCATTATATGGGCAGGGTTAGCCACTTGCATAAATTTTGTGAAATCAGTAAAAGAAAACATCCTTCAACGTGCGTCCAAACGAGTACTATTTGGAGACAGATGTCACGCACCTTCTGAAAGGGAATTCAAAAATCCATCTGAGTTTGTGGCAAAAAGTCAGTGGATTTTTGTGCCTTCTCGGATCTTTAGGGAAACATGCTGTTTGATCGTAACTTTTCAGGCAGCGATTGGGGGTTTGGATACTTGGGGGAAAACGGCACATGCGTTGTAACACGTGATTAAAATCTCCTGCGCCGCCACCAACATGTAACTGTGACGAAATGTTGCTGTAATCTTAGACGAAGTGACAGCATCAACCTCAGGAAAGCACATTCAAACATAACACAATATGCCTCATCCCCAATCGTTGGAAATCTGAGACTGGCGAAAAGGTGTAAAGCTGCCTAGGGACGATATTGAAACCATTACCATTAAGGTAGTCGGTCAGTCGTCTGTTGAGAACTCCTTATGATTGCTGAAAGCCTGACGCTGACGGACTTGAAGAAGAATATTACACGCCTTTGCCGGGCTTTCCAGTCACATTCTTGTTTTTGAGAGAGTGCCTCATTTCCATCCAATGTGGTGAATACCCGACTACTAAAGAAGAAAATATTATCACGTGCGATCATGAAGAAAAGGGGGGAGACCATGTGACCCGAATCGCAAGCGTACCTGATTTCTATCTGGTATGTCACTCGGCTCCTAGAAGCCTGATTTCGAGATATGCTTTGCAGTTTCGCAGTCTCTAATTTTCCAGGTCAAGCTTTCAACGGAAAATAGAGCGACAGCAGGTAAGTCAGTGATTGTCGTCGTTTTAACTTTCTACCATATTTTAAAGCTCCGAGCCTAGGGGCCTTGAGGCAATTGATCTAAATGCCTCATGTCATCTACGGCCTTCAAAATATGGTGTAATACTAGAATGAAGCGAGATATCCACTGCCCTCTATCTCTTCGCTGCTAGTCCAATCGCGATTTTGCACTCAAGCTTTGAAGCAATAAATCGTTCCTATCTTTTACATCTCTAAAGCATCATTTTAACGGAGATATTCCATTAAGCCACTTTCCTTTCAGCGGTATCTGGTCTTTTGTTGACATTTTGGAAGTTATCAGATCCGACCATGAACAAAGAACCGTACAGCATCGATATCCATTCCTTTGTTTTCTTTACTCGGAATACCGTCGAGTTTCTTTGCAGCCAGCGAGGTTCCTTTTGCGTTAGAAAAATTCTCGACCTGCCTTGCATTTGTTTTGCTCTTCTCTCATAATCTTCAATTGAGTTGTCTTCCGCATCTTGCGGTCCGGACTACCGCAAATATGTCGGACTAATTGCCTATGAACCTAGCCCAGACGGCTCTCCCTGATTTCAACATGGGAAACTATGGTGGTAGTTCACGGGATATCAATGATGGTATTACCCCCATGGAAGACGTAACCTACCAAGACGCTGTGGAGCAACAGCCAAACGAAGTGATTTTGGATCGTGCCCCGCTACCACCCGTTCCAGCAAACGTCGAAGAACTCCCTCGAGGCCTCCCATATCTTCCCGGAGTACCAGAAGATTATACCCCTGAGCCAAACTTGGACCCCAATAAGGATCGGGAGGATAATGCATGGCTCGCAAGCGAGAAGAACTGGACTACGCGAGTGGGAGAAGGATGGGTTGCAAAAAAGGTGCTGGGTAGGGGTGGGATGGGTATCGTGGGACTTTGGGAATACGAAGGTCTTGACAAAGATCTGAAGTCCCTGACGAAAATCGCGGTCAAGCAACAAACATGGCGAGAGCGATACGTCAACCTTGGTGATGAGGAATACTTATTGAGAATGTTTCAGAGGGTTAAGACTCAGCATATTCCTAAGCTTTATGGACGTGTGATGGCTGGGATGGGGGCGTCAGGTCCGGGGAGTAAATATGATTCGGGTCAAGTGCAAAGGATTTTTCTGGAGTTTTGCGAGGGAGGAGACCTCTATGAAGTCATAGCGAAGAGAAGAATGCAGTAGGTACCAGGCACTCCTTGATTTTGAAACTCAACATACGCTTTGCTCACGCTGTGTGTGTAGGTTGAATGCTACGCAGGGTAGAATTGGTGGCATGACCGCTCTACAATTGTGGGAAATATTTCATTGCCTTGTAGGTGCAACGATCTTTTGTTCCGAACTCCCTTTTAACTTCTTCCTATGAGTTGATTTTGAATCTCAATAGCCCCATTAAGAAGATCTCCACAAAACATAGAGCTAACTTCCACTTCTTTTAGGCCTTGGCGATTTATGTGATGCACACAGGTAGCGAAGACTATCGAGCAAATCCACCGAGATGGGGTAGAAACGAATTGATCCATTTTGATTTGAAGCCGGAAAACAGTATGCACCTTCTACTTCCCAAGGCCAATTACATACTTACGATAGTCCAAAGCTTTTATAGGAGCACCTACATACGACGAAGAGCATAGGTATCGGGCACCGCACAAGGTAGGCAGTATCCCGTTTCAAGAGCGACTATTTTTCCTGACTTACGTCTTCCTAGATTGCCGACTTTGGTTTAGCATGGATGATGTCTCCAACCCGTGCTCGACAGGCGGGCTATCCGGATGAGACCTTTGCAAGGGGAACACGAGGGTTCCTTGCTCCGGTCAGTTGAGTCTTCTCTTTACACAATTGTTCCAGTATGCCTGCTAGATGGATGTACTAACGTCCACAGGAACAAGTACCTTACGCCCCCTCCCAGAGTGTGCCGGATTATGATGAGTTTCTTAGGCCATGGCAGACACCCGGGCGGAACCTAGTGAAAGACCCTCACTATGGCACAACGACCAATATCTGGCAAATTGGGTTGATTATGCATTGTGTCTTGCATATGAAGACATATCCAGACGTACGTTTTGACACCTCTGCGTCTCTTCTTGTACGTATCTGATAGGCTCATACTAACCCTTCCCAGTGGAGAACCGACATCCCGGATAAATACGAGTGCGTGTATTGGAATCAAACCCCAAGGCTCCGCAGATCAAGTCCTTCAGTGCACATAAAAAATGATATGACTATGGCTATGAACCTGAAGAAAGATCCCAAACTAGAGCGCTTCCGGAGGGTCTTACTTATAATATTGGAATGTTTAATCCTGAGTCCTGGTGAGCGTATAGGTCCTCACGAGCTTTGTATAAGGACGCGAGAGGGAATGGATGCGGAGCGTGAATACGAGAGGCAAGTGAGGATAGGGAGAAACAAAATGGTTGCAAGACAGATGCGGGCGCAGCGGAGAGCCCAAGGAGAACCAGACGATGATATACACACAGATGACGAGGATGGGATGATTCCACCTGGACCGCCATATGAGGAGCCGAAACTGTCTGCCCGATGGTATGATGGGGAGGCTCAAGTGAACTTAACCCGCTCCCGCGTGCCCTCACGCTCTACTGCCGAATTGAGACGACAGCGAAAAGAGCAAGCCCGAAGAATGGGCCTTCGAAGAGACGCCCTGGAAGTAGAGCAGCAGCGACAACGCGTGGAAACGGCCCTCTCACAGCAAGAACCACGGCCTCCAGCGGAGCCCGTTGAACAACGACAGCCAGTAATACCAAGAAAAGCCGTTCCACAAAAGCCGCCTAAGCCTTCGGCCTCAAAGCTTCAACTACCCACCTATAAAGGGCCACCATTGCCACCCAAGGAGCCATTACAAGCACAACATCCCGATCAGGGACAGAGAAGAACTAGAGCGAGTCAGAGGAACCAGCAAATTCCTTCACTTCTGCGACCCGGGGGACTTCGACCTGCAGGGGAATTTAATCCTTATAGAATTCGTGCCGCTCAAAGAGCTCAACAGCAACAACAACAACCACCGACAGTAGATGATACCGGATTCGTAACAGCACCCCTCCAACAGGCACCTCCACCTGTCAGACCACCACCCGGTTTTCCAGCGCCCGTCAGACCAGCACCAGGTCAACCAGCGCCTGGTAGACAAGCACCGGCTCCTCTATCACCTTATAGACCACCGCCAGGCCAACTATATCCCGTGATCCCACCATATCCCGTAACCCCACCATATCCCGTAACACCCCCTCAAGCACCCGCTATACCACCACCAGGGCCCCCCTATCCACAGCCTCCTAACCCAGCGCTCGTGAGACCCCCAGGACTCGCACAACGACCTGTTCCCTTTCGTCCCGGAGCACCAGGTCCACCAACCC